AATGAGCAACATACCAAAATGCTTTGCTCAGAAAGCTCCCAAGAAGGGACTGAACCTTTGAATCCCGCAGCAGGCTTGGTAGCAGAAGGAGAGAATTTTGCCAACTTAAAGACAAAGACTGGTGAGGCCAAACCCTAGCAAAAGTCTAGCAGAGGAGTGAGGATGAGGAAGAGGAGGGAAAAGAGCACTCAAGACAGAACCAGGCATGGTGGTTCAGTCCTGTAATCCTAGTTACTTGGGAGGCCAAGATCGGGAGAAGCATGGTTTAAGGTCAGCCCGTGCAAAATATTACTGAGCCCCCATATCAACCAATAATTAACTGGACATGGTGGTACACACCTGTCATCCCAGCTATGGCAGGAAGTGTAAAACAGAGGGATCCGATCTAAGCCAGCCTGGGGAAAAGCAACCCTCTATCCCCAAAATAACCAGAGCAAAAAGAGCTGGAGGTATGGCTCAAACTGTAGAGCACCTGCCTAGCAAGCATGAAGCCCTTAGTTCAAACCCCAATACCAGCAAGAACAAACAAAAGAACCTTCAGAAGATCTGCTGCATGTCCAGGCTCTGCCACCCACTCTCTGTGCACCTTGGCTGAGTTAACCACCCTCTGTGCCTTGGTTTCCTTGTTTGCAGGTGAACACAAAGTGCCCACTGAGGATAAAAAGGCCAGTGTGGTTGGGAGACAGGCACAACTGCAAGTGTGATGCCTGACACGGATGTGCTCGAATGGGTTGGCCACGGTGTCCATGTTAGATGTGCACTTCAGGAAGTTCTTTCCTCATCTATAGAAAGAATAACTTTGCTTGCCCTGCGTGCATCAGGAACCACAAAGACACAATCAAGCAGTATCAAGTGTAGAGTTCAAAAAACTTGAGACATAAAAATGGGAGTGGGGGTGGGGTAATGAAACCCACATCTTAGAAATACCGAGTTTGTGCTACTTCCGGGATATGTTCACTTTCTTTACTTCATTTGACTTTTCCTGTCAGCAACCTCATGAGTGGGGATCGTGTTGATGGTGCATTTTACATGGGATGGATCAAAGCAGGACTTAGAGATGTTCTTGTTGGTTAATGTTCTTAGAGCAGAGCATCATGGGAATTGTGGCCCAGCAGAGGAGGCCCCAGGCCTCATCTCTCACTCACCTCTGGATGGTCTCTGGAGCCTTGTTGCTTTCGGTCCTCTACCTGAATCCTGACCACCCTCTTTCCATTTCCAGCCCAGCCCTCTCCAGACATGGGTCTGCTTAGTCACCCTCCCCACCTCAAACTGAAAGTGATCAAAACTAAACCCTTTTTCCCCTCTGTTCCACAGCTGTCCAGTCTTAGCCAGGGGCCACTCCATCCTTCCTGTTGCTGGAGTCTTTGTCCATCTCTTTCTCTCACATCCCACAAACAACTGGACAGAAAATCTTTTATACTGCACTTTCACCAACACACCCAGAATCTGACCATACCTTTCCACCGCAGTGTGGCCCCTGGCTTGAGTGGGCACCACCTCTTTCTCACCAGGACCACTGCCGCATCTCCATCTTGCTCAGATACGGTCTATTTCCAACACAGCAGCTGATGTGATCCTGTGAAAGGCAAGTGTCCACCTGCTGGTCAAAACTCCAGACCTGGCTGCACTTCCGTGACATTAAAGCCAACTTCTATAATGTCTACAAAGCCCTGTATAAGTGCCCCCTTCCAGCAACAGATACCGACTACATTTATTGCTTATTGCTTGAGTACAAGCTCAGCAAGGGCTCATTTACTGGCACATAGTGGGCACTTCATAAACATGTGTTGCAACATGAAACCATGACGTAAACATTTAATTGCATAATGTAAGTACCAAGAGAAAGGTGTACTAATGTAAGAAGAAACTCTCCTGGGAAACTCATCTGGAAAGAGCCAGAATTCCACCAACCTTCCAGCTCCAAGCATAGAGCTTGCTCTGTTAAGACAGCATGCAGTGGAGTGCCGGCACACAGTAGGCGCTCCATATGTGCACACACCCTGCCTCTGCTGGTCCGCTTTCCTTCTGTTGCAGGCTCTTCTACTGAAAATGCACACCGTTCTCAGGAGGAAGGAGGAAAAGACACAGCCGGTCCCCAGCTGTGCCTGGCCTTGACCCGGTGGATCCAGTGCTGGCCCCAGGCGTCAGGGAGCCAGGCAGTGGAGATGCTGGACCCGGGATAAGGCTGCGCTCTGCGGGAGAAGCCATGGCTCAGTGTGCAACGGCGCCGGGGAAGGCGGGCCGTGGCGGGACCTGGGGTGGACCTGGGCCGGGTGGGGTGGAGTGGCTCGGTGTGGCTCCAGGCCGGTGCCACTGCCCCTGCCGCTCATCTGGCCCCACCACCCGGGGCGGGGGCCCCCCAGGCTTCGGGGCTCTCGGCCTCCCTGCGTCCAGGGAAGAAACGCTTTCCTCTGGATCCTCCCAGACCCGACGGCCCCCCCTGCCCGCCTGAACCTGGAAATGGAGGCCCAGGCGTCCTGGGGACCCGCGACGCCCCGTTTGCACGTGCGGCAGGCCAGCGGGCTGGGGACATCGCCCATGGCCATTGCCGGAGGCCCTGCTGCACCGGGCCGCCTCCCTCAGGGCTTCCCAGCTCCGTGCAGCACCCACAGGTGGGACCCACTCCAGCAGCCCGGGAGGAAGCAAGCCACGCTGGCGTCCTGCTGCGTCCTTGAATCTTGACAAAACTGTTGTTTGGGACTGGCCATGGTGGGCCAGGATGAAGCACCAACGCCCATGCCCCTCCAGCCTGGGGCAAACTATGCTCTTTTGTCCCTTTCTGGTGGCCTGGCCTGTTCCTCCAGGCCAGGGGCTCCCTGTCTCTGAGGACTCCGAAGATGGCCACAGCTGTTCTTCCTGGAGGTCTCTGCCTGGAAAGAACACAGAGCCGCTTTCCTAACGCCCTTAGGGACTGCAGAAAAAGTAATAGGAGTCCTCCCAGATCACCCTGTGCAGAGGGATTACTGCCCTGGATGAGGTGTCCTACTGTGTGCAAAGTCCCACAATCAGTGACTGACAGAGGGGCCACCAACCCACCACTGCCTGACTTGGAGAAAATATATATGCACATTTATAATTTTGTCTATGGTTATATAATATGTAACCATAAAGTCACACACACACACACATATACATTTTTTCACCACCCAGAGTTGAGGACTAAGTCATTGAGGCACTGTCCCCTACCACCAAAGCCCTCCAAAAGCCTGGCTGGCATTCTTGGCTCCCGTTCTTCTGTGTGCTGCAGTGAACAGCATCTTCCCTCCTCATTTATCATCCACAGCCTTGGCTCCTTGGTAGCACTTCGGGGCACACTGTAATTGTTTTGGGGACCAGGTTTCACAGGATTCTGTTCTGAGAGGACAATGCCTTCTCCTTGGGTGCACCTGCAGAACGGTCTTCTTCCCTCCAGCTCAGCAGCCTTCCTCCAGAGCTCCGGGCAATCTCTCAGCCCCACTGCCAGGACCTGAGAGGTCCAAGATACTCCCCTCTGCCCTGCAGGACCCCGGGGGTGCTGTGGAAAATGGCTCCTCCCCTTGAGGAACTCTGCTTACAGAGCCTTTGGACATCTCCTGGCTAGATCCGGTCCAGTATGTCGATGACTGCCAAAGGCCTGGGGCCATGGGAGCTGGCTGTGGGGTCACCAGGACAGCATAGACCAACGGAGCAACTGAATTCTTCCTTGAGGGACTGCCTGCATGGGGTGTTGGTTATTTGGGGGGAAGGCAAAATAAGGCACTTGCACTTACAGCTCCACACATTTCAGAA